GCACAGTGGGTACTCACCGCAGACTCAAATGGGACCTCGCCATCCCTGGGGGGCTGCGATCTGTGAAACTGTCGCCACTTTCGAGGGCTGCTGAGGGGCCCAGCACAGTGGGCTTCCCGCACGTTTTTCTCCTGCTCTTCGCTCCCGTCTCCCCATGTCCTCTTCGAGCCTGTAGCTGTTGCCCCTCTTTCTTGTATGGTTCTCCTGCGCATCATGCCATAGGCGCGTGTCCCAAGTAGCTTACATATCAAACAACGGATCCTGCAATTTGATTGTCCATGCAAGTTTCGGCCAACTCCTCGTTTCCCATGATACAAATGGGTTGGGTACGTCACAGGGTAATTCTCTTCGGGGGGCGAAGTTCGGGTTTCGGGGGGGGGGTCTTTTGGAAGCTTTGTGTGGCGGCCTGAGGGCATCATGACGCACAATGCCCCGCGAGACGCCAATAAAGGCACCCTGAAGTGCAAGACATGCAAATGATGTCGAATCGGGCACGCGTACTGGTGAGAAAAAGGAGGACGGAACAAGGATAATGGAGATGAGGCGGAGGATAGGGGGGGCGAATCATCGAATATGACGAGGTGAAGCGGACCAGGAACAAGAGGAGGGGGACGAGGAGGAGGGGAACGTGGAGAGGATGGAGGAGGACGAGGAGGAGGGGGACATAGAGATGAGGCTATGAGTGATGGTTTATGGATGAGAAATTCTTGTATGTGTATAACGATTTCGCGGCACGCCTTTCGGGGACATCTGGAAAACAGATTTGAAGCCACCAGGGGGCCGAGGTGGACAAGGATGGATGAGGAGGAGGAGGAGGAGGAGGGGGACACAGAGGAAATGAAGGACGGGGGGAAAAGAATCGACGAGGATGAGGATGAGGTGAGAGAGGAAGAGGAAGAATGGGCGAGGGGCTTCTCGCGGAACTTTCGGAGGCAGTTTCGAAGCCTCTTGGGGGCCGTTTTGGGACCGTTTGGGGCCCTCTTGGGGGCCTTTTGTGGCTTCTTGGAGGCGTCTTGGGGGCCTCCTGGGGCCTCTTGGGGCCTTCTGGGGCCGTCTTGGGGCGGAAGGCTCGGATTGCCGGTTCAAGCTCCCCCTCTTGGGCCCCTCGTGGGGCCGTCTTGGGGCCCTCTTGGGCAGTCTTGGGGGCCTATTGGGCCGTCTTGGCGCCCTCTGGAGCCGACTTGGGCGCCTCTTGGGGGCCTCTTGGGCCGTCTTGGGGCGGTCTTGGGGTGCTCTTGGACGGTCTTCAACGCCGTGAAGGCCGACAAGTCGTATAGTATCAACATGTACGTTTTCCTATAGGAATTCCACAATTTTCAGCTCGTAGGCCCTTCTGAGGACTGCTCTTGGAGGCCGCTTGGGCCGTCTTGGAGGTCTCTTGGCTCGTCATGGGGCCATCTTGGGCGTCTTGGAGCGCTCGTGTGGCGTCTCGGGGCCCTCGTGGGCCGTCTTGGAGGCGTCTTGGGACCTTCTTGGCCCGTCTTGAGCCCCTGTTGGGCCCAAAAAAGCAAGTGAGTCGCTCGTCCGGGGCCTGGGGGGGGGGGGGTCAAATCGCCGGTTTGGGGTCCCTGGGGGGGGGACTTCTGGGGGGGGAACTATCTCACACGCCTAGAGACCCACAAGGGGTCGGCGGACTCAGGATGAAAAACCGGTCCTGGGGAATAGATCGAGGCTTCCGGGGACCGCGCATTGAAAAAATCACGACATCGGATCTCTGGGGAGGTGTTTCAGGGCCCAGACCCACACATGCTCGCGTTGCACAAAAACAAAAAAAAAAAGAGCAGGACGAGGAGAGGTTTCTCGCTATTTGCGGCCTCGGGGGGCCCTCGCTGGGCCTCGGGGCCGTCAAAAAGCGGCTCAGGATGAGAGACCGGTCCTGGGCAAAAGGTCGGGACCTCCAGGAGCCCCGTATTAAAAATAATCAGGACGTCGCATGTCTGGGGACCAGCTCCCCGAGATCCAGCGCACTGAAAATTATCCTGGCGAAGGACCCAACCATCTGCAGTTGTGGGTGCCGCAATTCTGAATATTTTTTTCGGTGAAGCTCCCTATGGGGCCACAGAGCGCTGCACTGGGCGTTGGGGAACGCATGCGAGCGGTAGCTCTGGGGCCCTCGGTGGGGCTCCCTATGGGGTCACGAAACGTTGTACTGGGTGAGTGAAAATGCCAAATTGGGCTTCCGGGGCGCATGCGGACGGTCCCACTGGGGGCTTCGGTGGAGCTCCTTATGGTGCCACGAAACGCTGTACTGGGTGGGTGAAAATGCGAAATTGGGTTTTTAGGACGCATGCGGGCGGTCCCACTGGGAGCTTCGGTGGAGCTTCCTATGGGGCCACGAAACGCTGCACTGGGTGGGTGAAAATGCTGAATTGGGCTTCCGCGACGCATGTGGGCGGTCCCACTGGGGGCTTCGGTGGAGCTCCCTATGGGGCCACCAAACGCCATACTGGGTGGGCGAAAATGCCAAATTGGGCGTGTGGGACGCATGCGGACGGTCCCACTAGGGGCTTCGGTGGAGCTTCCTATGGGGCCACGAAGCGCTGTCCTGCGTGGGTGAAACTGCCAAATTGGGCATGTGGGGCGCATGTGGGCGGTCCCAGTGGGAGTCGAGCTCTCTATTTGGGCCACGACGCGTTGCACTGGGTGGGCGAAAATGTAAGATTGCGTGTGCGGGACGCATGCAGACGGTCCCACTGGGGGCTTCGGTGGAATTCCATATGGGACCACGAAACGTTGTACCGGGTCAGCGAAAATGCCAAATTGGGCATGCGGGACGCAAGCGGACGGTCCCTCTGGCCACGAAGCGCTGTACTGGGTGTGGCGGACGCATGTGGCCACCCATCAGTAAAGCCTGAGGTGGAGTTCCCTATGGGGCCACGAAGCGCCGTTATGTGTGTGGCGGACAAATGTAAAACTTCCTATTGGGGCGTTAGGTGGAGCCCCCTTCTGGGGCCACGAAGCGCCGTACTGGGTGTTGCAGACGCATGTGGCCACCCATCAGTGAGGCCTGAGGTGGAGCTCCCTCTGGGGCCACGAAACGCCGTTCTGTATGTGGCGGACAAATGTGACCCCCCCTAGTGGAGCGTTAGGTGGGGCTCCTTATGGGGCCACGAAGCGCCGTACTGGGTGTGGCAGACGCATGTGGTACCCCCCACTGGGGCCTTGGGTGGAGCTCCCTCGTGGGCCACGAAACGCCGTACTGGGTGTGGCGGGCGCATGTGGTACCCCCTACTGGGGCGTCAGGTGGAGCTCACTATGGGGCCACGAATACGCCGCACTGGGTGTGGCAGACGCATGTGGTACCCCCCACTGGGGCGTTAGGTGGAGCTCCCTATGGGGCCACGAAAGGCCGTACTGGGTGTGGCAGACGCATGTGGTAACCCCCTTTGTGGCCCCCCCTGGGGATTTTGGTGGAGCTCCCTATGGGGCCACGAAACGCTGTACTGGGTGTGGCAGACGCATGTGGTATCCCCCCCCTGGGGCCTTGCTTGGAGCTGCTCCCTATGGGGCCACGAAGCGCTGTACTGGGTGTGGCAGACGCATGTGGTACCACCCCCGCTGGGGCCTTCGGTGGAGCTCCTTGTGGGGCCACGAAACGTTGTACTGGGTTTGTCAGACGCATGTGGTACCCCCCCTGGGCCTTACGTGGAGCTCCCTATGGGGCCACGAAGCGCTGTACTGGGTGTGGCAGACGCATGTGGTACCCCAATTGGGGGGGAGGGCACGAGAGGAGGAGAAGGAGACGCGGGGACCGTTTCTTCAAAACGAGGACCCAAAACACCACAGGATGGTTGGGAAACATCGTCACGGAGGCCTTTCGCCGATTTTTCAGTCTTGGGGTCCCTCGCTGGGCCGCAGGATTGTCCAGAAGGAAAACAGCCCCGGGCGAGACACCAGCCCCGGGGAAGGGGTCGATCGACTTCGGGGAACCGCGCATGGAACCAAGCAAGACATCGGATCGCTGAGGCGTTCCAGGACCAGTGGGGGCCAAGAAACGTATGAGGGGTGTGCCAATGTGGGGGGGGGACGGGAGGCGGGAGGGAAGGGACGAGGAGGGGGGGAGGAGAGTAGATGAGAGGAGAGGAGAGGAGAGGAGAGGAGAGGAGAGGAGAGGAGAGGAGAGGAGAGGAGAGGAGAGGAGAGGAGGGGGAGGAGGAGGGGAGAGGAGACAAGCTAGGTGCGCGCGCGTCATATCTGACGTCCTACCCCTCCCTCCCATCCCTTACCATGGCGCTGATTTTCTCTATCCGCGGACTAGTGGGTGGTGGTGCGCGTGCGTGCGTGCGTGTGTGCGTGGTTGTGGTGGGGGTGGTGGTGCTGGTGCTGGTGCTGGTGCTGGTGCTGGTGCTGGTGCTGGTGCTGGTGCTGCTGGTGCTGCTGGTGCTGCTGGTGCTGCTGGTGCTGCTGGTGCTGCTGATGCTGCTGGTGCTGCTGGTGGTGGTGGTGGTGGTGGTGGTGGCGGCGGTGGTGGTAGTGGTGGTGGTGGTGGTGGTGGTGTGTGTGTGTGCGTGTGTGCGCGTGTGCTGTGGCATGGCACAGGAAATGACGCCAGCGCTGCAGCGGGAGCACGAGTCGAAACGGGCGGAAGCGCGGAAATGAGGCCAGCGCTGCAGCGGGAGCACGATTCGGAACGAGCGGAAGCACGGAAATGAGGCCAGCGCTGCAGCGGGAGCACGATTCGGAACGAGCGGGGCCCGAAAATGAGGCCGGCGCCTCGGCGAGAGCAGCATTTTGAAAAACACACAAGTTTGAAACAAAAACACAAGCGAGAACCCGTTTCCCGGGAATCCTGTGTGTAAAAAACAATACGCGGGGGGGTGTCGGATATCTTCGGGACGCCATCAGGGGAAGTGGGAGAGTATTTTCATATTGTGTAATTGTGGAGAGGAGAGGAGAGGAGAGGAGAGGAGGACGCGGGGCGCTGTTTCGTCAACAGGAGGACCCAACACCATAGGACGGCTGGGATAAATCAAGACATCGGATCTCCTGGGGTGTTTCAGGACCCAGACCAGTTCGACCAGTTCCAGGCCGCCGCCAGGGAGGCGATGAGGACACCAGCCCAGGTCGAGCGCCTGCGATCCGTAATGCTCGCGGTGAACCGGCTGAGATCTGACCCAGACCTCGGCGAGTTCTTCCGCGAGCTCGACGAGGACGGGCCGCTGGCGCTGCGGAAGTACGGGCAGCAGGACTGGTTCTTGCAGAAGCTAGCCGCGGCGGAGGCGAGCGTCGCCGAGGAGCAGGGGTCTCCCGACGACCAGGACGGGGCGGACGAGCAGCTTGCGGCGGAGCTGGACCTGGAGGAGCAGGCCATGCGGGAGCTGGAGGACGAGCTGATCGCCGAGATCTTCACCAAGTTCGACACAGACAAGGACGGAGTCTTGAGCCTGGACGAATTCAATTCTCTTCAGCGCACCACCGAAGGGCCCGACGCCGAGTTCACTTCGGAGCAGCTGGCGTCCCTGCTGCTGGCCATCAGCCCAGAGCTGCTGGAGCCTGGCAGAGGCATGCCGTTCAAGGAGTTCTACCGCCTGTACAGCGACCAGAAGCTTGCCGAGCAGTACGGCACAGACGTCGTCAGGGACCACGGCAAGATCTTCGGCTCAGACACCGTTCCAGGGAGCGCCGAGGTGCCCGAATACCTATTCGGCGACCCTGGGCCAGGCTGAGCTGTGGCGCCCGCGGCGAGACGGCGCCCGTTGCTGTCAAAGAAGGCATCTCATCCGAATGCTCCGCCTCGCCGTTTTCATACTTGTCATTCCTGTCGCCCGCTCACCCGCACCAGCCTTGGCTCAGGAAGCCTTCCAGCGGCAGTCGTTGGCGACAGATCCGTGCACCAGCAGTGTAGTCGAGCGCCGGGTAGTAGTCGGACCCGCGCCGGCGGCCCCCCTCGCCGCAGATGTCGACCCAGCAGGGCGCCCACAAGAGCTGCCCGCCCCTCCAGCACGCCCCGAGCCCGCACCCCAGGCCCGCGCCGGGCCTGCCCCCGCCCGGCCTCTTCCTCTCGAGCCACCCGGCGCCCGTGCACGGCGCCGGGGAGCCGCCGCGGGCGCCGGCGCCCGTCCGCTGCTGCCGCTGGTGCGGGGCGCGGGTGGCCGCCGCGCTGGCCCGCGCCCGCTGCTGCACCGCCTGCGGCGGCAGGCTCCGCGGCGGCGGCGCGGCGCCCGTGGCGGCAGGCCCCGCGCCCGTGGCGGGAGGCCCCCGCCCGCGGGCGGCGCCCGCCGCAGCGCGCTGCTTCGGGGGCCTGCCCGCAGAGCAGCAGGGCCCGGCGCGGGCGCGGGGCCACCAGGACAGGCCCCCGGCGGCGCGCGGCCCCGGTGCTGGTGCGCTCGAGCCGCACGGTGCGGGGGGGCCTGCCGCCTCGGCGGTGCCGCTGCCGCTGAAGCTCCTCGCGGGCCTCTCTGCGGAGCAGCAGTGGGCGCTGATGGCCGCGCTGGAGCGCGGCCTGCCCGGCGACGTGGACAGGCTGCGGGTGGGCGCCGAGCAGCGCCCTGCCGCCGTCGTGGAGGCGTCCGAGAAGCTCCCTCCGCAGGTGAAAATGCAGGAGCCGCCCCTCCACGTTGGCGAGCGCGAGCCGTTGTACACGAGGTGGTGGGGTCCAGCAGTGCCACCTCCGCTGGACATCATCGAGGATTGGTCCCAGGAGCAGCGGCTTGCGGCGATGGCCAAGCTGGAGCTCGGCCTGCCAGAGGACGTGGCCACGCCGCGGAAATCCGGCGAGCCTACAAGGAGCTTCCCGCGGAGCCGCGGCGGCCGGTCGCGCGTGGCCGAGGCGCAGGGCAGGGCAGCTTACATTCAATGACCTTGACAACTGCCGCCGCCTCCGACGGTGCGCTCGCGAGGGGCCCTCGCGGGCAAAGGTGCAGACCCTGGTCTTGGGCGTCAGGACGCCGGGCGCGGTCTCGGCATACATGCCTCCCTGCACGCATGGGGGGCGGGCGCTCGCTCGCAGCGTCTGTCGCAGGTGGTGGTGGCGCTTCGGGGGATCAGCGGTTCGAGGAGGGGCCAGGGGTGGCATCGGGGGGGGGGGGGCGCTGCACTTGGTTGCCGCAGGCGGCTGCGGCCGCTGGTGTCCCTGCGGCACGGCAGCAGATGGACTGCGACGCCCTGGGAGCAGCGCCATGTCCGAGCCAGCTGCCGCACCGGTTGCCAATAAAGGCGCCGCTTTTCTCCCACCTGTCCCTTTGCGTAGTCATTCCGTAGAGTTCAAGCGTCTCCAGGTCGTTTGGACACCATTATACATTATAGCTTGATATTCGTGCGCCGGTCCAACACCCTTTTTCTGGCCGCCGGGTCGCAGCTCCCCAGGCTCCAGGTCCCGCCTCGGCCTCGCAGCCTGCGCTGCCCCTGCCCGCACCCGCCGCCCCGACCGCATGCCGGGGCTTGCCGCCGCGGTGGCTGCGCCTTTCTGCCCGCGCGGCGGCGGGCGCGGCGCGCCCTGGGCGCCCCGCCGCCCCGCCGCCACCCCGCGCGCCCGTTTTTGTTGCCTCCCCGCCCGGGCCTCGTGCCCCCTCGGCGGGCGGGCGCGGGGCCAGGCCAGAGAGGCCCAGCGAGGCCCAGCGAGGCCCAGCGAGTATAGATCCTGGGGGGCGCCCCGCGGGGCCGCAGCCTGCTTGGCCGCCCTCCGAGCCCGGGTGTGCGCCCGCAGCTCCAGCTAGGCGGAGGGAGGGGAGGAGCGGCTGCGCCGCACCCTGGGCTGCGCGTGGCAGCGCGTTCGGCGGGCAGTGCTCCCCAGGCTGAGCTGCGCTCTCCCGTGAGCCTGCTTGCCCTGCCACGTCCCATCGGTCGTTGCAACACCCAGACTTTTGCTTTTTGCTGTTGTGCAGCAGCGGCCTGGCCCGCACTGCATTCTGATGCGCTCGCGAGGGCCATCAGTTTTGTTTGATGAGGCGCCACCGCCAGACTGCCGATCCTCTCTTCACCCTGTACAGCGTGGAGATCTGAATTGGAAAATGCAGCAATACGAGTTGATGCATAAATCGTATCAGCACTGGGAGGAGGAGGAGGAGGAGGAGGAGGAGGAGGAGGAGGAGGAGGAGAGACAAGGGGAAGACAACTCTCGCGAGCGATGGTGAAACACTCTGCGAATCATAACCAACAGCGTATGCGTAAACATGGAGCCTCGCGCGGATTTCTGGTGTCGGCGCTGGGCCGCTGTCGTCAGGCCCGCCTCCACCAGCGGTCATGCGGAGGCACGCCTGATGGACGGCAGCGTCTGATTGGCACTGACGCGGGCGCTTCTCCAGGCGCGCTCCACGCTGGACCTGCCAGGTCCTTCGCAGCCTCCAGCCCGACGGTGGCGGCGCACTATGCTCCACCGCGGCACGCCCCCCTTCCCTTGTCAGGACCAAAGGCACAGACTTAAGTCGGGCATGTCCCTCTGCAGGAGGAATATTCAAAAATAGTCGAAAAATAGTCTGGGTACGATTTTTTTTGTTAAAACCATTTTCGACTATTTCGGGGTATTTGTTGTTGACTAGTATTAAGGTTTCGTCCAACATCTGCCTGTAGGGGGACATGACCGACCTAAGCCCAGACCCCCTACGTCGTGATTGTTTCACATCGTCGACCCCCAGAGGTCTCACTCACTCATGGCGGTTGAAGGGCACTCCCGACACCATGCACACCTTTCCTGGCCCTCCCCCGCATTGGGGGAGGGGGGGCGCCCAGAGGTCTGGAACTCTTCCCCTGGACAGGTTTTTCGTCCTGAGTCGTTTTTCTGGACGGTCCCGAGGCCCGGTAAGGGCCCCCGGAGGCTGAGAATAGCGAAACACCTCCCGTCGTGTTTTTGTTCACAAGGGTAGGGGGCCTGGGGATGCACAAAGGATACGACGAAGGGGAGCGCATCGAGACGCAACGGGGGATCATGTCGGACACACAGGGGGAGGATGAGGAGGAGGAGGAGGAGGAGGAGGCGGAGGAGGAGGAGGAGGAGGAGGAGGAGGAGGAGGCGGAGGCGGAGGCGGAGGCGGAGGCGGAGGAGGAGGAGGAGGAGGAGGAGGGGGCGCGCGCGCCTGGAGCTCGCGATGGGCCCGACGAGGGGGCCTGGCGAGCTGACGCCGAACCCCTGGGAGCGAGGGGCCGCCGAGGGCCGCTGCCGGCACGGCTGCGCGCCCCCAGTGGGCACCGACGGTCTGAGAGGGCCAGCCGCGCAGGCGACGACGCAGACGACGAGCTCGACGGCCTCCCGAGGGGAGCGCGGCCGAGCCGTCGACGCGGGCGGGCGAGCTCCGGCGGAGCACCGAGCGAGCTGAGCAGCTGAGCGTTGGGCAGTGGCCCGTCAGGCCACAAGGCCTCCGCATGGAGTCCTGGGCGGATTGCGAAAAGGTTCTCGGTTCGGAATGTAAGCGAGCCGCATGTGTGCACGGAACAAGAGCAGTCCTGAGTTTTGAAGCGAAGGTGTAAGCTGCGCGTGCTTCGGAGCGGTCGTCGAGTAACTTGGATCACCTCCCCAGCGTGGCCGCGCACCACCCGGGCGTCGCGTTGCGCCGCTGTTGGCCTCGTCCTTCTCCCCCAGGAGTGGTAATTGGCCGAACCCGTCCAGGAGCCGCCGCCGGCCCGCTGCCGCGAGCCCGCCTCCTAGCTCACGCCGGCGCCGCAGCCAAATGACGGGGCACGCTGTGCCTGGAGAGAAGTCCTCCGGGGAGCCGTCGGGCAACGGCGAACGCGCCCGTCGTGCGGCCAGTGCTTCCTAGCCCATGGGGCTGCTGAAGGTACTCTTTCGGTCAGTGAGGTCTCCCTCACTGGCCACAGTGGTTTCCCAGCCGCCGCTGCTGTGTCTTTTTTCACCAAAACTGTGCGGGCGTGGAGCTCAGAAAAAATGAAAACGCACCGGTTCACCACGCTTCTCAGTCAGGGCGTCGCAGTGCGTTGTAGATATAGCCGAAGGGCGCAGAAGCAATTGTTTGTGCTTGGCCGCCACTTCCGCGACCCTGAGACGGATAGAGACCGCGGTGAGGGAGTCCTCCTGGCGCACCCGTTTATGGTGTCGGGAACGCGCCACGCTTGCTACGTCCTGCGAATCCTACGCGTATGTGTTGTGGTGCGCATGTCAGATGAGTATTTCGGAATGCTTTGCGTGTGTTGTATCCCATGTCCCATGCGAGTGATTCGGTCCGCGTCTTTGTATCTTGCGTATGTATATGATGTGTGTGTGGCTTTAAGTGGACGTGTGTATCATGTGGGTGCCGTGTACGTATGCGTTGCATTTGTATGGTGTGTATGATACAATGAGTGTGTGCGTATGTGTGACGAATGTACGAGCGCGAAAGAGGAGGAGGAGGAGGAGGAGGAGGAGGAGGAGGAGGAGGAGGAGGAGGAGAGATGAGGTTGGAGACGCGAGTGGGGGGAAGCCAGAATCCCATAGCTCATCTAGGATCCGGACTCTAGCGCAATAGCATAACTGGCCGAAGTATATACCGGCAATGTCGCACCCCCCCCTGCTATCATACCCCGGCGTATTCATCGGCACTACCATTTCCAGTTCACGTTCTAGCATCATTCGTGTCATTCCCTTTGTCAGGACCATTAAAGTCTCAGCGCCAGTGCGATCTCATTTCCATCATTGTCTCTTCGCCATGACAAGTGCAATATCGTGACAGTCTCAGTGCACTCACAATACCAGTGCCATTGCAATGCGACCGAGTTAGACTCCCGCGCTCGGGGAATAATTTGTTCAAGGGCGTGTTTTCTGTTCTCATGTTGTCGTTCGGCTCAAACCCACCAGGACCTATTCATATTATTTTTGGTGCTGATGATAAGCTCTGGGAGCCTCTTAACTGCTTCTCCCAGCTACGCAGGCTCATCGACTGTACACCTATGAAGTCGCCTCGCATACATCCTGCGAGCAAGGAGTTGCCATCCCAGATAGAAGGGGTGTTTTTCCTGGCATCGTCAACTGTCTGATGTCGAGAGCGTTCTGAATATCAGGGTTCCCTGTCGTCTACTCTTAACGCGGCTGTTGCCCCTCTTGCGAGCCTTGTGCCTGGTAGGCCTTTTTCGTTTGGTGGGTGCTTTTCCGTCTTATTTTCCTTCTCGCAAGCCGGCGCGCATAATCCCAAGTCACCAGGTCGTGGCCCAAGAGAGCTTCAGAGGGTAGCCCAAGCGAGTTCAAGGGACGGTGCGGCTTCAAAAGAAACCCAACAGAGCTCCAAGACGGCTTGATCTGAGCCCCCGGACAGGCCGACCATTCAAGGCAAGCCGCGAAGTCCCGAAGATGATCCCAATATTGTTTTCGAGATAGACCCACACATTCCCAAAGCGATGCGCATCCAATACTTATTGCAGCGGAGATGAAGACACTTCGGCATTGGGCCTGCGAGTCGATTCGGGATTCGTTTTGTGGCGTGTCGTGGTTTCCAAGTTTGCGCAGATCAGCTCCAAGAGGACTTCCATCATGTAGCATTACGCAAGGATGATTTGGGAACATAGTTTGCGCACTTTGGCGTGCCGAGCAGCAAGACGCATTGGCAAGCAGCAGGACACTTCAGCAGGCAGCAGCAGAGAATACCATGTAGCAGTATGCAGTCACAGGCGACACCAAGCAGCAGCAGCAGCAGCAGCAGCAGCAGCAGCAGCAGCAGCAGCAGCAGCAAGAGACCAAAGAAGCAGCCCTTCTCGATGTGCCCGAACCTTTTCCTTTTGACCGGTCGAGAGCCCTGGCCAACGCGGAGCGGTGCACATTTCTGCGGTCCGCTCGGGGGCTCGCGGGGGGGAACGAGGGGCTGACCTCTCTCGCGGGTCCGTTTTCTGTTATTTGTCGCTTGCTCGTCGCGGCGGGCAGGAGCATTACTTCACTCCGTGCGGCAGTCTGTATTCAATGTTTGTCTGCTGGTCGAAGGGTCCAACTGGATGCGGCGATATGGGTTGAAGTTGCTCAACAGTCTTGTGGCCCCAGGGAGCGGGAGGCGGAGATGCCTGCGCGAACGCATACACGCGTCTCTGCGTGCGCGCACACATTTGTAGATGTCCCGTGCTGTGTACTCCGTATCCCACATGTTTTTTGGCACGCAAGACTTGTGATGCAGTTTGTAGTTGTGGCTTCGATGCCCGTTGCTATGGCTGCCATCGGGCATCACACGTTGCGTGCAGTCATCACGGCTCCGAGGAAGGGAAGGTCTTGATAGGGGAGTTGTTTGCGCTCCCCAGCAGCGCCAGGACCCCTTCAATCTGGACACCCTCGTCTTCGCGGCCTACACTGAAATGGTGAGGGCGCTGTTTGGAGACTGCGCGTGGCGACTGGCCTCTTGGGCGCTCAGGGCGGGCAGGCGAGGAAAGACAGGAGCGTTGGGAGTGACAGGATCAAGCACGCGGACTCGTGATCCACAGCGCGAGGCTTCAACAGCTACATATTGTTCATCACGTTGTCATTCCGTGAGTGCCTGGCGGGGCATGCCTACATCTTGGTCCAGAGCATCGGATTCACGAGACCCTGGCATCATTCTGCCCACGCATTGCCATAGCAACAGCAAGTAGCATTCCAAAGCCTCGTCCGCTGTCCTGGACGAGGTCGACGACATGATTCAGGAAGTTCAGCTGAATCGCAAGGGCAGGATGAATGCTAGGTTAGCGGGAAGTTAGTGGGAGTAGAAGAACGCGCCCAGCGTAGCTGATGTCGATGACCTGCGCGCGCATGTGCGCACTTGCCTGGTCATACGGGGAGCAGTTGCATGTGATAGCCAACATCATCAGAAGCTGTGACCATTCCTTCTCCTCGTCCTCCTGCCCCTCCTCATCACCTCCTCCGTCCGTCTCGTTTCTCCTCTCTCCTCTGTCCTCGTAGCGACTCTCACGGGCCGATGCGAATGGGTCTACCTGCATGTGGCGGGTCGCGGCTGAACGCGGAAACGGTGTTCGCAGTTGTCGGTTTCAACGCTGCCGTGCGCACGGTCCAGGGAGCTCGCCAGACTCGACTCGAAGGGGGCCCTGCCCAGCTCTAGCGTTGAAGCCACTGGTCCTGTGCTGCAGGGTTACGAGACCCGTCAATCAGGTTTCGGGTGGACGAGATGTCAGCGAGGACGGGGGAACAAAAACACACAAGGTGACAAACAAACACGCGCACACACACACACAACACACACACACACACATTGTGGACACATGCACACTGTGGACAAAAAGAGCACGCATACACGGTGGGAAAAAAAACACACAGACACACCAAAGAAAACATTCTTTTTGGGAAAGAATAAACCGAGTGTTTTGGTTCCGCTGGCAGTGTGCGCTTTTGGTCCACAGTGAGTGTGTGTGTGTGTGCGTGCGTGTGCGTGTGCGTGTGCGTGTGCCTGTGTGTGTGTTTGCGTGTGTCTGTGCGTGTGTCTGTGTGTGTGTGTGCGTGTGTGTGTGTGCGTGTGTGCGTGTGTGTGTGTGCGTGTGTGTGTGTGTGTGCGTGTGCGTGTGCGTGTGCGTGTGCGTGCGCGTGTGTGTGTGCGTGTGTGTGTGTGTGTGTGCGTGTGTGTGTGTGTGGATCTTTCCAAAGGGCCAGCGCATGGACGGAGCGGCCGCCGTCCACCGCGACATCGCCGCGAGGCCCAGGAAGTCGCGGGAGCGAGCTGGATCCACCTTGCTCGGCTGCCGCCCGAAAGCTCACCGCCGACCGGCGCCGAGAGGCCGACCCGCGTGCTCCCATCGGGTCCTGCTCCTCCTCCGCCTCCTCCGCCTTCTCCTCCTTCCTCGACCTCCTCCTCCTCCTCCTCCTCCGCCTCCTCCTCCGCCTTCCTCCTCCTCCGCCTCCTCCTCCTCCTTCTCCGCCTCCTCCTCCTCCTCCTTCCTCGTCCTCCTCTTCCTCCTCCTCCTCCTTTCCCTCCTCCTCCTCCTCCTCCTCCCCCTCCTCCTCCTCCCTGGGAGGGGATGCCGAAGGAGCCCGTCGTGCGCTCGCTCCGGCTCGGCCACGCGCTCCGCCGCTCGCTCCGCCACCCTTGGCCGTGGGCGAGCCGCAGCATCCCCCGGGTCGAGGCCCCGAGCGAGAGGCGGGCACCCCCGCCGCGGGCGCCGCACTGCCCTGACTCCTGATCCGCCCTACTTTGGGCGATTTCGAAAGTAGGGCGGAAATTTCCGCCCTACTTTTGAGGACCCTTTGAGCGTCGATTTCCGCCCTTGAGGCTCCTTTGGCGTCGATTTCCGATACAATTTTAGGTCGGAAAATCATCCAACGTACGGCGGATCAGGAGCCAGGGTGGAGTGGGCAGGGGCCCGGTGCCCACGGCCACGTGCTCTTCCCTCGCCCCCCCCCCCGGCCATGCGCAGAGGGGGGTTGGGGGAGGGGGGAAGGCTTCCTAGACGGAGGCTGCTTCTTAGAGGGCGCTGGCCTTGCATTCCCAGACAAGGCCCGCGCCTTCTAAGGAGCAGGGGTGCTTCTAAGAAGCCTCCCTCCCTGTGCCCCCCTCGGCCACGCGCGGAGAGGGCCTGGGGGGAGGGGGGAAGGCTTCTCGGAAGCACCCCTGCTTCTTGGAAGGCGCGGATCTGCTCTGCAGATGTGAGGCCAGCGCCTCCTCAGAAGCAGCCTCCTTCTGAGGCCGTCGTCGTTCCGCTGTGGTGATTTGCAGTGCACGACGATGAGGTCATCAGTTGCGGGGCAAAAAGTCGGTGAGAGTCCTCCACAAAATCGTCGGCTATCAGGGGCCCGGTCTACCCTTAAGTCGGGCCTGTCCCCCATACAGGGGGATTTTCGATGATAAATAAAACATACCCCAAACATAGTCAAAAAATATGCAAAAAATAGCCTGGGAACTATGTTTTGAATTTTGTTTGACCTTTTTGGGGTATGTTTTTGGGGTATTTTTAATTTTCCGTCGAAAATCCCCCTGTAGGGGGACAGGCTCGACATAAGTCTACCCCTGCAGATGGCGTCTCTGGATCACTTCGGGGCATGGGGCACGGCCCGCGTCGTGCACGGGCTGGGTGCCGCAGGGCTGCGCGCGCTCGCTGGCCGGCGCCACGTGCTGGCTCGCTCTGGACGAGCAGCTGGCGTCGACCTCCTCCTCGTCCTCCTCCTCCTCCTCCTCGTCCTCCTCCTCCTCCTCCTCCTCCTCCTCCTCCTCCTCCCTCCCTCCCTCCCTCCCTCCCTCCCTCCCTCCCTCCCCCCCTCCCTCCCTCCCTCCCTCGGTGGTCTTGGAGGCCGCGCTGCGCTGCTCGCCTCCAGGGGGGCACCGCAGGCGTGCGACGTCTTGACCCTTTTCCACGCGCGGCCCCTGGAAGCCCTCCTCCTCCTCCTCCTCCCCTCCTCCTCCTCCCCTCCTCCTCCTCCCCCTCCTCGGCCTCCTCCTCCTCGGCCTCCTCCTCCTCCTCCTCCTCCTCCTCCTCCTCCTCGTCCTCCTCATCGTCTTCCCCGGGGCCGGCCTTTCGCCCCGAGTCGTTTTTTTGACGGCCCAGCGAGGACGAAGCCGGCCGATCACCTGCCGTCCCGATGTGTTTTTTTGTTGCAAGGCGCGGTCATGCCTGGGTTTGGAGCTCGCGCTCCGCCGATCGCCTCAAGGTGGCACGGCAGTTAGTTCGGGCCTGTCCTCCTTACAGGGGGATTGTCGACGAAAGATAAAAGATACAAACAAATACTCCCACATGGTCATAAAATGCTGCAACAATAGTCCCCAGACTATTTTTTGCTATTCTTGAATATTCCCCCTGTAGAGGGACAGGCCCGACTTAACACGGGAGGCGCAGCTGCAGGGGAGCGCAGGAGCAGGTCTCTGCGCCGCCTTCGAGCGTAGGAATTCTCGGCGTGCGCAACGGGCCGAGGATCGCTGTGGCCCTCGGTGTCCCCACGGTCGTCCTGCTCGACCGTGCAGCTGCACACCGCAAGTTACCAGCCTCTAACGTATCCCTATCCCTAAGATTGACACGCCAAAAGGCGATGACAATCTTAGGGATCCGCCCTAAAAAAGTCAGGGAATCCCTAAGATTGGCATCGTGATGAGGAGATGCCCAGCATAGGGACAGGGATATGTTCCAGGCTGGTAAGTAAGTACTGCCAAGCTGACGCTGCATTATGTCATGCCAGAAGAGGTCGCCGGCGCCAGGTCCGCCTTCGCGCCGAAGGTGGCCCAGAGGGCCAGCTTTGAGGCGTGGGGCCATCTCGGGCAATCTTCGGAGCCGTCTTTGGGGCTCCTGGGGGCCATCTTGGGGCCCAGGCTTGCTCTGGCAAGCTTTGGCGATTGATTCGGAGGGCATCCTGGCGCCTCTCCATTATGCTTTGGGAGCCGAGGCGGGATTGCGGGAGGCCGTGGGTTTGAAATGTGTTCGTTCTTTTCATCCCGCTTCGCCTCCTCTGTTCGTGGTTTGGGGTGAAACCGGCGAGCGTGGCACGTTGTTGGCCTCGATGCCTTCTTTCTGGGAGCCTCTGGCAGGCTGTCCCTGGCAGTGCTGTGTGTGTTTAGTGTGTGTGTGTGCGTGTGTTTAAAAGGGTCAGCGCGCCCCCCTGGGTGGGGGCGTCCTTCCGCAGCCTCGTCCTCTCCCCTCACCGAGGGCAAACGAACCCCTAACCCTGATAACACGATGAAGACGTGGCCTCACTGAGGTCCCCGTCTTCGCATTAGGGCAGTTCGGTTCGATACATCTGCAGAAAAGACAATCTTATCCCTAATGTTCCAGGCCCTCATTAATCAGATCCCCTCCCAAAGGGTCAGGAGTCTTTTTTCGGTGTGAATCCCCCCCAGACCCCCGACGTCGTGTTTTTTTCACAGCGTCGACCCCCAGAGGTCTGGACCTCACCCTTGGTCGTTTTTGGACGGCCCCGAGGCCCGGCGAGGGTCCCCAGAGGCCGAATGCAGCGAGAAACTTCCCTTCGTGATTTTTCTCACAACCCGAGGGGGTCTGGGCCCCTCCGCGAAGGTGCGGTGTGAAGCTGGGTCCCGGAGGGGTAGGAGGAGGAGGAGGAGGAGGAGGAGGAGCAGGAGGAGGCGGAGGAGGAGGCGGAGGAGGTGCAGGAGGGGGAGGAGGAGGAGGAGGAGTTGGAGGAGGAGGAGGAGGAGGAGGAGGAGGGGGAGGAGGAGGAGGAGGAGGAGGAGGAGGAGGAGAGGAGGAGGCGGAGGAGGTGCAGGGGGGGGGAGGAGGAGGAGGAGTTGGGAGGAGGAGGAGGGGGGAGAGGAGGAAGGAGCGTCCGCGAAGGTGCGGTGTGAAGCTTGGTCTCCAAGGCAAGGCGGCGCCCCGCCCCCCCCCCCCCCAAAAAAAAAATGCTGCGCGCCTCCGCGGGGTGGCTGCACCCTGTGCGGGGCCGCGCGGTTTTTTGGCTCCCGACAGGCCTCGTCTGCGTCTGCGAGCGAGGTCGGGCCGCCCAGAGCAGCTCGCAGAGCTCGTCGATTTGATCGGTGCTATCGACTCCCCAGACCTCCTCGCGTTGGCAAAAAGTCACGAAGCGAGGTTTTTCGCTATTTTCAGCCTCCAGGGGCCCTGACCAGGCCTCAGGACCATAAACAACGACTCTGGATGAAAAATCGGTCCAGCTGCCCATATCATCGCGCGGAGCTCATCGACTTATCGATGCTATCGACTCGGAGTGCCACTGCTCGAAGAAGAAAAAAAGGAGAAGAAGAAGAAGAAGAAGCAACGCCACAAACATAAACTTGTTGCGCTCCGCGCGGATTCCTTGGATCCGCGCTGGGGTCCACCTGGCAGCGCCTCCGGCGCCGCCCCTGGCGCGCTCCGCGCGCCAGGGAGGAGGGTCCACCGCAGCTCCAAGAAATCCGCTCGGAGCGCCACGAATTTTTATCTATGCCATTGTTTGTCCTTCTAGTGTTGTCTTGCCTGCTGTTTCTTGTCTCTCGTCCCCCTCTCCACGGGAGGCGCTCTGTGTCGCGCTGCTGGTCGTCATGTGGGCCTACGCGGCGCTTGTTGCGGGCACGCTTTCTGCCATGGCGCCCTGCCTCAGCACTGCCGCCCAACGCCCTGGCCCCGCGACGGAGGAGGAGGAGGAGGAGGAGGAGGAGGAGGAGGAGGAGGAGGAGGGAAGAGAGGAGGAGGAGGAGGAGGAGGAGGAGGAGGAGGAGGAGGGGAGGAGGAGGAGGAGGAGGGGAGAAGGAGGGAGGAGGAGGAGGAGAGGAGGAGGAGGAGGGGAGAGGAAGGGGAGGAGGAGGAGGAGGAGGAGGAGGAGGAGGAGGAGGAGGAGGACGAGGAGGACCAGAGCCATCACAGTAGACCCAGGGGGCATCAGCGACGCTGCTGCGCACCCTCCCGTCCCAAGTCCCCGCCGCCCACGTCCCCGCAGGATTGTGTGTGCGTGTGTGTGTGTGTGTGTGTGTGTGTGTGTGTGTGTGTGTGTGTGTGTGTGTGTGTGTGTGTGTGTGTGTGTCTGAGGTTGTTCCCGGTCCAGTGGAGGCCCATGCCAAGAAACACCTTGTTTGCCTCCGGGGTGCCCTGGGTTTCTTGGGTTTCGATGGTTTCGCCATGGGAAGCGCGACGTTCCCACACTAAAAACCAGTGGACGTCCTGGGGTCTCAGGGTTGCGTTTCTTGTGGAAGGTTTCTTGTGGACTGGCCCCCACTATATTTTGTGTGGCTTCCTAACGAGGGCGGTCACCGCGTGTTCATGTTCTGTGAGGTGGTCGTTGCAACCCCGACATCGCACATCCTCCTCTCCTTCATCGTCGGGTCCTGCCGTTCACCCTGGCCGCTTCTGGTGTCCGTGGTGATCGGTGTGGCCTTCTTCAGCGTTCTCGTTGGCTTGGGGTCTCTGGCCGTTGACGCCAAAAGCTCCGCGCTGGGGCATCTGGCAGGGCGGCGCGGGGGCCTTCCCCTGGGGGTGCGGCCGGACAGCTCGGGGGTGGCCTGTGCGGATCTTCCCGGCTCCGCCGTGCTGGCTCGCCCAGAGGCCGAGAGGAAGTGCGATTGGAAGGCGGGGGATGACTCAGCGCACAGGACAGCCCAGTTGCTAAGACACGAGGGCCTGGTGGCGGACAGCGGGATCGGGCGCACGCCGTGCACGTCAGGAAGCATCTCCGCTGCGTGTCGTCCCAGTCGAGATCGTTCTCGTCGGCGTGCTGGGACTCGCGTCCGCCACGCCGTACCCTGCCCCCCTCGTGTTATGAGCAGCTTGCAAGTATCTCTTTCGTTCCCCAAACAGCGTTTTCGGATGCGACTCCTGCGAGGTCAAATTCTGAATTTGCCCTGGTCCGAAATCCGGCTTAATCCGACCTACTCTTGTTCAGTCCAGCTCAGTCCCGCTTAATCCGGCCTAATCCCGATTAATCCGCGGCCTAATCTGGCGTGACAGCCCCCCAATGGGGCCTAACATTGCTTAATCCTTCCGACGAAAACCTCCCATTAGTTGCTTCCTCAAGCGCTTGCACTCAGGGGCTCTTATGTCCGGGCCCGTGCGCGGGCCTAGCGGCCGCGTTCGCGCCCGTCGCCGCGCCGCGTCGTTGCACCCACCCCCCTCCCCCTGTTGCATTGCAGTCGCACTGCGCTGCATTGCAATCGCAACGAGTTTCGATCGCGCTGCACTGCGTTGCAACCGCATTGCGCAGCATAGCCGTGCACTGCTCTGCATTGCTCTGCACTGCTCTTGCAGTGTTTTTTACTGCGTTGCCTTGCGCTGGCTTGCCCTGGTTTACATTCGGTTTGCGCTGCATTGCTTAGCATTGCTATTGCATTGCTTCGCAGTGCTCTGCATCGTGTTACATTGCTTCGCATTGTTTTGCATTGCTTTGCATTGCTTTGAACTTCTTCGCGTAGTGTTGCGTTGCTTGGCATCGCATTGCATTGCAATGCATTGCGTTGCGTTGCCAGGGATGTGTGTTGCATTTATTTGCAATGCTTTGCAGTTTCTTGCTTTGTATTGCGTTGCGTGGCTTTGAATTGCGTTGTAATGCTTTACAGTGCTTTGCCTGGTTTTGCATTTCTTTGCATCGCGTTGCATTGTGGTGCACTGTGTTGTATTGGTTTGCGCTGATTTGCACAGGTTGGCACTGCTTCGCATTGCTTTGCATTGCGTTGTGTTGCCTTTCACCATACAAGTGGCACCACCCAGATTGCACCGCATCGATGGCACCACCAAGGTTGCACCGCATAGGCTGCAAGGTGCACTGCGTGGGTCCATGCTTTGCTAGAACTGAGCATGCGCACGGGACACGCTGTGGACCACGTGACGCCCATGCAGCTGAGCCCACACCTGGCCTGGGCCCGCCGTGCACAACTGGCGAAGAGCTGGCTGCCACATGCGCTTCGGATGCGGAGTTGACGTGAAAGACGCGTGGGGATGTGCTGAGCATCCTGCGAAGTTCCGCGCGATGTTTTGAACGCTGGGACGACGATGACGGGGAGGACGACGGGGATGACGATGACAACGACGACGACGACGAAAACGACGACGAAAGCGACGACGACGACGATGCCGAGGAAGTCGACGACGACGGCGGCGATGACGACGACGACCTGCCCATCTGCTCATGGTCGCTTTGGAGGGGGAGTCTGATCCTGGAGGCTTCGCAAGGCCTGAGCCGCACCAGGCGCAGGGGCACCGTGGATGATGCCCGAGGGCCCCGTCCAGGAGTGCGAGGGTGGTTACAGTCGAGGCGCTGAAGAAGGAACCCTTTTCGTTGGGGAGGGGCTCGGTGTTCCTTGATTGTTTCACAGCTTGCCTCAGGTTTCCCTTATCTTTCCGATGGGAAATCGAAGTTTAACTCGTGGAAAAAATGGGGTCTCGTTCCCTATTTAGGGTTCCTGAGGTCAACGCCCCGACTGTACCTCGTCTTCGAGAGGGGGCGCGCACGCTCGGACGCGAGAGCTCCGAAGGGACCCCCCTGGCGAAGGCGCTCGGCCTGTCGTGGCGCCGGGGTTTGACAGGAGGCTGTAGACTTCAGGGGGGGGGAAAGATCGGGGGAACGCAAGACCCGGGTTTGCCAGGACTCGGGTTCGCCATGGTTTTTTGACGACCGCGCCTCGGATTTTGACGAGGAGGAGTTTCGTGGGATGTCTGCAGCGGGAGGCCTCGTCAAAATGCAGGCTCGGCCTCGTCATTTTTTTGACGACCTCGTCGGGGATTTCCGAGTCCCCCGTACCCGGGTCTTACGTCTCCCCGAAAAGACACACAGACACAACGAATCGTCGATTCCCCAGAAGACATGGGAAAATATGGGAAGTGGGGGGGAAGACGACAAACCCAGAAAGCGTGGGAAAAAATTGGGAATCCTGTTATTTCTGTCTATTCATTGGTGTGCCCCTGGGCCTCTTCAATACTGTCGGGCCGAGGTTCTAGGTTCGAGGTTCGGGCTCGGGGCTCGGGGTTCTCGGACGCTTTCGTCGGCTCGCGGCGGTTTCCCAGCCCCGGGATGCTTGCCAGCAGCCGCGCCCCGCCGAGAGCGTTCCGGGAGTGCCCGGATCGTCCCGAGCGGCCACCGGAGAGCCGAGCTATGGCCGAGAGACCACCAGGCGTCCGTGCGACCGAGGTACAAGATCGAGGTCGGTTCGGGGAGGGTGGCCCAGTGTTCTTCGTGTCTGTTGGATCTCAGAGTGCATCCTGTGGAGGGTACCCTTGGATGTTCTGTTCGTCTTGGCCGACGGAGGGTCTCATGTGCTAGAGCAACGTTCTTCTGGCCCAGGCCCGACTGTACGAAGTGTGCCGTAGCCAGTTCGAGGTGCCGGTGCAGAGGATGGGTTAAAGGGCAAAGCGCCGCCAGAGGAGGTGCAGCGGCTCCAACTGGAGGGCGCCCAAAGGCCGCGTTGCTGCTGCAGGCCACCAGTTCGGGGCCAGGAGCACACTCGATCTTGCCAGAGACCAATTCAGTTTTAGGACAGCACGCCGCGAGACTGAGATTGCCAGTGCCTCCGAATGCTCGTGAGACCAGGCGGTCAGGAGCGTGTTGGCTAAAATGCCGCCAGGGTCCTTCGCCAAACGTCCCGCCGCCTGAGCCACGAGATGCTGGCCATCGGTGGGTTCACCGGCTCGTTTCGCCGTGGTGCTTGGAATGTGCTCGAGCAATCTGCCATTCTGCGGCGCCGTCCACTCTTCGAAGCAGGAGAAGGAAGATGGGGGGGACGAGCAGGAGGGACAGCCCCCTACGGCGGAGGTGCCTGTGCCGTACGTGGGGGGGCCGTGCGACATCTACGACGAGGAAGATTCGGGGTGCCAGAGGGTATACCAGGCAATCTCCCCCACGACACGCCCTTCTGCATGGCGTGGACTGGCGCCCCATACTTGTCACGCGCTAGTTCGTCGTGCCTTGTAGCCAGCCAGGTAGCATACCCTACTTGATCGTAGTATGTGTGCCTTCCTCGTGCCCGGATGCGACCTGCTCTCAAACCCTGCTGGGCACAAGGAGCGCGAGTGTCAGTAGACGCCCTCCATGCACTACATCACAGCTCCCTCTGCAGAAAGAGCTCCTTTGCCCTTCTCATTTCCGATGCGGTCGTTATTTAATCGCTTCGCTCATTCCGCCGGCCCTGGAGCGCTACTTGGGGCCTCTTGGGGCCGTCTTGGGGGCTTCTTGGGGGCTTCTTGGGAGCGTCTTGGGGCTCCTTGGCGGCGTATTGGGCTCCCCTGGGGCCTCTTGGGGGGCTCTTGGGGGCCCCTTGGGGCGGGAGGGGGGGTAGTCGATTGCAGTCCCCCCCTCGGAGGCCACGACCCTCGTGAGGGGTGGCGAAAAATAGCCTCCCCCCTGGGGATCGCCCGGGAAGCGGCCGGGGATCAGCCTGGGTACTTTTCGTCCGGGACCCCCCAGGGGCCGCCCCGCGCGCGCGAACTAGAAATATTGTTAAGTAGTTACCGGAGATTTTAGCACGCCTCTGGCCCGTTGGGCCGGCGAATTTGCGCGCCTGCTCTGAAAAATGACGCTGCTTCCGACCGCTATCTTGTTCGCAAGGGAAGCTGTTCGGCATTTTCAGATTTGGAGCTGTGATTATTCCAAGGCGTCTCTGGTTTTCGGCCGACTAGTTGTACCCCTCTCGTCCTAGATACTGCTATCGCCTTTAAGCCTTTCCGGCCTGAGGGTAGATTATACCTTTCTCAATTCCGAAACCACACACGTATCAGTTCAAGTTGTTGCGTGCCAGCCGATTTTTCTCGAGCCACTTCGCAGGCTCCAAGATTTACCCACGGTAAACACCCGTCCACAGGTCCTAAATGAATAGATCACCTGATGAATGACGAGTTAGTTCATTGCTTCTCGAGGGTGTCGCCCTTCACATGTTCGCCCATTCCCTAACAACACGTCGCCGGGGACATCAATGTATGCGGCTCTTCAACTCTTGGGCACGTGGATTTCGGGGGCAGGGCACGCGTGCACGCACTGGCCCCCGTCCCTCTGTCCCGCATCTCCTCGCGCCTGCGTGATCGTGCTGCCCTTTGACCAGCGTTCGCATGTGAGGATCGGGCGGGGGACCAGGTTGCGGAGGGAGGAGGGGAGGACTGTAGGGAGTGGGTCGCGCGAGCGAGGCGTGGGGGGGGCAGCATGTGGGGGCGTGAAGGGATCGGGGGGGGAGGAGGCGGAAGGCAGTGGCACGGGAGAGAGATAGAGAGAGATAGGTTCAAGCCGGGGTAACGGCGGGGGGGGGGGCAGGGGACGAGACCCTTTTGGGGTTGTAGGAGCCGGCAGTGCAAATGTGAAGGTCGACGGCGCACACATTGAGAATTGGGGTGGCCACGAGTATGCCCTCTTCAGTCAGACTTTCCCTCGCTGGCGCTCCACGACAGCAGTTTGAAGCACGTCTCCGCACACAGGCCAGGAGACACCGAGCTTGCCGAAATATCTGGGCTAGGCTCACACATGATGCACACAGTCACGGGGGGTGGAGTCCCCCCTTCAAAAAAGTGTGGCAGGCATATCTGCTGGTGTTCGGTTTGGTGGGCGTCGCGCTCTCCTCGTACAGCTTCAAGGAGCAGCGGCACTTTCAGGCACCAGGGCATCGCAAGCTTGCGCATGGTCTCCGCATCGCATTTCAGAGTACGCGTTAGGATCCAGGGGCGTGCGTTTTCGCAAGCCTAGGACAGCCAGCCCTTTGAGGGTCTAGGTGCCCCAGAAGTAGACCGGGCTTGATCTTCGTACATTCGTTTGCGGATGATCTCGCCGCTGGTCGTCTTCGGATGAATTCGTCTTCGGATGAACCCGTCTGGAAGAAGTTGCCCGGACGAATTCGTCCGGACAGACTCGTCTCCAACGAAGTCGTCTAGACGAAGCGGCTCCGGATGATACAGTAGGCTTTTGTCGCCCCGCGTAAGGCCGTTCCTCTTAGTAGCTCAAATGTGTGCCTGACCCAAGGTGCCACACATGTACCCAGGGAGGTTTTACACGGCCTCCAGAGCACCCGGGTCCAGATGCTTCCCAGGGATTTCAAAATGGCTCGCAACGCGGGGCAGCAGGCAAGCGCTAACATGTATTGGATATCCGTGGATCTGTGACGCGGGCGCGGGGGGGGGGGGGGAAAGTATGACAATTCTTCACGTTTCGCGTGTCCCCACCAGCTCAGTAGCTAATTAGGCTTGCCCGTCGGCCCGGACACCCTGTTCGCCGCCTGCGTCCTTCGCTCGCGGCCGCGACCAAAAATAGTATCCCCACCAGCTTCAGCGCTGGTTCACGCCTTCCTCGACGGCCCGTTCGCCCAGGTGGAAGTGGTCACGCGGCACCGTGCTTGACGACTGCGGTGGGTTGCTGGTTCTGCATTCCGCACATGCAGACCCACGCCGAGGAGAGGTATGTCGGGAGTGACGCCGCTGCAATGTGGGCGCCATCGAAGTCACCGCCAGTTTGGCCTGATGCCGGTCAACGCCTGGTCCTTCTGAGTTGCGGTTGAGCCTGCCCCGCCGCTTAGTTTGCATTTTTCCGCCGGTTGTTAGCTGCACGCGTTCGGCTCTGTTGTAGGCCGTAATATTTTAGGTCTTTGCTACTCGGCAATCCCCCGACGGCGCGCGGCTCCTCCGCTTGCGCTCGCGAGCAAAAAAAACATCCCCGCCAGCGTTGCCGCCACGGCTCCCCCGCTCTCGCGGCCCCTGGCTTGAGACAGCCTCCCACGCCCGCCTTGGCTGCCGCCTCGGTTGTCCCTTGCCCCGCGGGTAGCGTTCCCGTTGCCCCCAGGGCGAGGTCCAACGCGCTCCGGCTGGACGCCTCCACGTTGCGCTGCGGGGTCCTCGCTCGCCGGGATCGGCCCCAGCCTGGCGGTGCGCGTCCGCCTGCACCCTGCACGAACGAAATGGGTACGGAAAGAATGGGTACAATGCGCAACAGCAGCTCCTGTTCATTTTGAACAGGACTCGCTGTCCGCGCCGCCGCGGCCTGTGTCCATTTCAGACAGAGGGCAGTCTGCCTCACAGCGGCCGCTGTTGGTTTGGGACAACATTTGTTGTTGGGCATTGTACCCATTCTTTCCGTGCCCATTTCGGGCGTCCAAATGCATTCCCCGGTCCGTGGAACGGGACCTCGACACCAGCCTTTGGTGGTGTCTGGCGATCCGGACTCTGATCCGTCGAGCGCCTGCGTGTGAGCTGGTTGACGGTTGGGCAGTCGTGGAGTGCGCCCGCTACCCACGAGACGGCGTGCCTGTTGGTCCCTGGCGCCTTCTCGTCGTTGTGCGCCTACTCACTGGCATGCTCGCGGAGTCGTTCAACCTGAATTCCCCCCCGCCATTTTGGCGTGCAACCGGCTGGCGGTTCAACCCCCCGGTCGAAGGCGCACTTCTGAGCGGCAGCGAGGCCCGCCTCGTCTTGTCTCCTCCCCGCTGTTCTCTCGTTGTCTCTATTTCCCTCTCCTTCTTGCGCAATTCAGGCCGTAGCTAGTGCGTTGCGAGTTTTGGACGGCGTGCAGTACTTCCGTTTCGCTTGCGATCAAAACAAGTATACCCATCAGCCCTTTCAGAAGCCGTGCCCATGAGTGCTGACGGGAAATGGGAAAGAGCGCCAGTGGATCACCTTGAAGACACAAAAGGGGGGGTGTGCTCCAGGGAACCCCCCCCCCCCCTCCCCCCTCAAGGGGGGGGGGGGGGTCCGAGAAACCCCCCCCCCCCCCCCCCCTCCCCCCCTTTAAGGGGGGGGGGGGGGGGTTCGAACCCCTCCCCCCCCCTCCCTTTGAAAGGGGGGGGGGGGGTTCGGAACTCTCCCCCCCCCCCCCCCCCTTGAAGGGGGGGGGGGGTCGGAACCCCCCCCCCCCCCCCCTCCCCCCCTTTCCGCAGGGGTCCGGTGCGAGCGAGCCGAGCGCGCGGACTGTTGGACGTAGGGGCCGTCGGGGGCAGGACTCTGAAAGCTTTGCGGGTGTGCGGGCGGGCCCGGGTTTAGGGTTAGGGTTAGGGGTTAGGGCTTAGGGTTTAGGGTTTAGGGTTTAGGGTTTAGGGTTTAGGGTTTAGGGTTTAGGGTTTAGGGTTTAGGGTTTAGGGTTTAGGGTTTAGGGTTTAGGGTTTAGGGTTTAGGGTTTAGGGTTTAGGGTTTAGGGTTTAGGGTTTAGGGTTTAGGGTTTAGGGTTTAGGGTTTAGGGTTTAGGGTTTAGGGTTTAGGGTTTAGGGTTTAGGGTTTAGGGTTTAGGGTTTAGGGTTTAGGGTTTAGGGTTTAGGGTTTAGGGTTTAGGGTTTAGGGTTTAGGGTTTAGGGTTTAGGGTTTAGGGTTTAGGGTTTAGGGTTTAGGGTTTAGGGTTTAGGGTTTAGGGTTTAGGGTTTAGGGTTTAGGGTTTAGGGTTTAGGGTTTAGGGTTTAGGGTTTAGGGTTTAGGGTTTAGGGTTTAGGGTTTAGGGTTTAGGGTTTAGGGTTTAGGGTTTAGGGTGTCCTCTGTCAGCGCTTGCTGTTCATCATTCGTGTAAGACCACCCCCACCCATAAAATGGAGTGGGGGTGGGGTAGTCGTGTTGAGGTGATATCATGTTGAGCGGAATCATGTTTCGGCAACGGGGCCAGCTCCCCTTTTAACATTCCCACCCCGCGCCCGTTAGGGCGGCGAACCACCCACGGCTTTCTCTATTAGGGTTTAGGGTTCATTCGGTAGTCGAGGTTCTCTTTCTCTTAGGGCCCCACGATTCCAATAGGTTTGGCGATCTTTCTCATGTGTACGACATAAAATGTTTTCTGAATCACACGTACACAGATACCCACTTGAGTCTTAAGATATGCGCAATCCAGGGTTTAGGGTTGACGCTTCACGTCGGGGGAAAGGGTTTCGGGTGAAACGCCGCGCGGGCGTTTGATTGTGCGCTTGTGGCGCCGGCTCCGCTCGCTTCGCTCGCTCCGCCGATACCGCTCCTCTGGAACTGCGAAATCCAGCTGGCGCGCCGAGGAGCGCCCTGGGCGCTGGGCGGCAGCTGAGTCGCCGTGAAGGGCGCCTGGGGTGCCTTGGAAGGCCTTGGGAGGGCCCTGGAAGGCCCTCCTAGGGGGGCTCCTGAAAGGCTCCTGGGGTGCTCCTGAGGGGCTCCTGGGTGGTTCCTGGGCGATCGGTAATTCACCGTGATGTGCGCCTGGGGTGCCCTCGGAGGGCCCTGGGAGGGCCCTGGGAGGGCCCTGGGTGGGGTTCAGGTGCGCCCTGGGCCCTGGGCGGCTGCCAATTCACCGTGATGTGCGCCTGGGGTGCCCTGGGAGGGCCCTGGGAGGGCCCTGGGAGGGCCCTGTGGGGGTTCAGGTGCGCCATGGGCCCTGGGCGGCTGCCAATTCACCGTGATGTGCGCCTGGGGTGCCCTGGGAGGGCCCTGGGAGGGCCTTGGGGGTGGTTCAGGTGCGCACTGGGCCCTGGGCGGCTGCCAATTCACCGCGATGTGCGCCTGGGGTGCCCTGGGAGGGCCCTGGGAGGGCACTGGGAGGGCACTGGGGGGGTTCAGGTGCGCCCTGGGC